ACTCTCTCAGGGGCTGTTTCTTCTCCCCTGGAACTGCGTAAGAGGGCCTCAGGCAGCTGGAGGGGAGAACGGAGGGGAGACGGGAAAGGCGGAGCCATGCCATTGTGTGAGCTAGCTTCAACAACGAATCCAGTGGAACGTGACTGATTTCTGGCGTGCTTCGTTGGAAATCCGGCCTCTAGATGAAACGGGGTCTCCCCGGAGGGCAAGGCGGACGCCGAGACAGCGGTAGCCTTTGTGCAGCGCGTTAAGGACCTGGCCGCTTGTTATTAAACTAGCACTGCGGGGTCCTGGGGTGCTAGCAGAGCGAGAGGCAATTCCGAGGCTCCCCTCTGGGAGGGCTGGTTTGAGCACACGTGGGGGGGGCCACCTGTCTCTAGAAGCAGTTGCCTTCTGGTGGCGAATGGGCGACCAGGGAGTGGTTTCTCTCTCTCGTTCCTAGCGCTCAGGCGTTAACTTGTTGGCAGTCCAGCAGAGAAGCCAAGAACTGATCATAGACTCATAGGCTGTGTCTACACTGGCGCGATCTTGTGCCAGAGCTATGCAAACGAGGCTAAGCGTGGAATATCGCCGAGCCTCATTTGCATATCTGATGAGCCGCCATTTTTGCAGAAGAGGCTCTTGCGCCAGAAGGAGCTGTCTACACGGCCCCTTCTTGCGCAAGAAAATCCCTCTTGCGCAATGCCGCTACGCTGATTATTTTCAGGAATAACGGCATGGCACAAGAGGGGTTTTCTTGCGCAAGAAGGGGCAGTATAGATGCTCCTTCTGGCGCAAGAGCCTCTTCCGCAAAAATGGCGGCTCATTAGATATGCAAATGAGGCTCGGTGATATTCCACGCTTAGCCTCATTTGCATACTTCTGGCGCAAGATCGCGCCAGTGTAGACCTAGCCATAGTGCACTAGGGACCTCGAGAGTCATTGAGTCCTGTCCCCTGCCCTCACGGCAGGACCAACCACCGTCTAGACCATCCCTGACAGGTGTCTGTCTCACCCGCTCTTAAATATCTCCAGAGATGGGGATTCCACAACCTCCCTGGGCAATTTATTCCAGCGTTTAACCACCCTGACAGGAAGTTTTTCCTAATGTCCAACCTAAACCTCCCTTGGTGCAGTTTAAGCCCATTGCTTCTTGTCCTGTCTTCAGAGGCCAAGGAGAACAATTTTTCTCCTTCCTCCTTGTAACACCTTTTTTGATGTCGCTCCTCCATCCCTAACCCGATCATGGTTGGAAAAGTTCTGGGAACTCCCTGCGCTGTTGTCTAGCAACAGGCTCAGAGGGGTTGGCCCAGCATGGTCTTTTCAGCTCTAGTGTGGGCCCGGGCCCCCCAGCCGGAACCTGCTCGGGAGTAGGTGGGCTCTCAAAATCTCTTTTAGTTGAGAGGAAGTCAAGGGGAAAACATCACCGGGCGCGGTTCCTTGTGGCCATGGAGCGTGGTTTTCCTGGCACTGTAGCTCTGGTAGGCCTGGCTGCTCGCAGACTGACGCTTCCACTCACGCCCTAGCTGACCCACCAATATTGGAGGTATGTAGAGTAGCCAGACGGGCCCAGCTTTTCTCCCAGCTGAACCATGTGGCAGAGGGAGCTTTCTGGAGAGGAGAAGGAGGGAGTGATGAATATGTTGCTAAAAGGAGCCGGGGTGGATGCGTTCCACGGCCGGAGCCAACCTAAGACCATGCTCTAGGAGGCCCTGGGCTATGAGAGATGCTGCCAGCGTCCAATCAGAAAGGGAAAATCTCCTTAGCATTGGCACCTCGTACGATTCTCAGCCCTCGCCTTCCTCCTTTGGGGCCTTTTCTCTCAGGAAAGGAGGGAGCCCAGATTGTACTGGCTTGGGGGCACAGCAGGCAGCGGGTGACTGTTTGTTTTTAGCACCGTAGCTGGGATTTAAATGAAGGGCTCACGACCCTCGGGCATCGTCCTGTCAGGGCCCAACGTCAGCCCAGCTACGCCACTGGCCTCAGAGAGCAGGACCGGTCAAAGGTCTCCGCTGCTAAAAGTCAGTCGGGCCTGTTCCTCCTTGAACTCAGGCAACAAACAGCCACTGGCCACGTAGCATCCCTGATATGATGGTACTTTGCTCTGTGGTCCTCATCCATGCCCACACCGTGACCTCCCGTTAGAAGAAAGGAAAGCGTCAGGAAGCCACCCGTCCATACAGCAAGGAGTGTGGCCATGAGGCTAGTTTACCTCAGTGAACCCCCTCTTTTGCCCTATCAGAGCCAGGCCTGGTGGCCAGAAATGCATGGTGGCGTGTAGGGCTTTGCCCGCAGTGCTGCTCTCTGGGGAGGAGCGGGGTGGTGAGATGGTCCAGGAGAGAAGAGGGCAAGATGGCCGCTCCTTTCCCACCCGCTCTGGCTGTTATGGTCACGGTACCGGGCACCCGCGGGACTCGTGTGGCTCATTTCTACCTCTCACGCTTTTAAAAATAGATCCTCGTCCCTCCCAAGATGTTGTTTACACGAGGGGCTTCATAACGGATTCTAGAAGACCCTGCAAAGGTAACTTCCAGGGGGCAGGGGGCATTCTGCACGGGCGTACGGGCTGGAGGCAGGCAGCTGGCCCTGCGGGAGAGAGAGGGCAGGGGAAACCAGCGGCCAAGGGCAGACGCAACAGGCGAGCAAAGGAAGGAGACCGGAAAGAAGAGCCGCTTTCCCTGCGGTAGGTCTGCCTCCTGCTTTCCTGTGCCTAGGGCGGCCTCTCACCCCGCCCCTGCCCTTCACCGGCCGTGCAGACCAAAGGGTGGGGTGGTCACAAGGAAGGCCTAGAAGGAGCTTGCTCCTCGGAGGAAAAGACTCGTCACCAACCCCTCTTCCCCCACGTCTCTGCAGCTCTTACTTCAATGGGTCTTGGAAACATCTGAGTGTCTCGTACACCCGTGTTCCTACCCTCTGAAGAACGGGCTAGCAGGGGCTGCTGTGGCCTCTCATTAGCAACCGTTAGCTCACCACATCTCACAGCACCCCCGTGAGGTATTTTTCCTGTGAAGGAGACATGCCAAGTGAAGCAGAATGTATATGGGCCCCTAAATGCAACTGTAATCAAGTGACTTGGCCAAGGCCTCAGAGGAACACAGTAGCAGAGTCAGGATTAGCCTGACAGAGGTTTTTGCTTCTAATGCTATGTCCTGGCTTCTCAGCACCATCCTAAGCAACAAGTTGAAGGTAACGTCCCTATGTCAGAAACTAAAGGAGTTAGAAAGGGGGGGGTATTAATTTGTTGAACTTTTATAGGCCAACTGTTTTCCTGTTTGCACTGTGTTCTCTGCCGCCTCATAGTCAGGTGTTAGTCATATTCTGGAGGGGACTGAGACAGTCACAGGAAAAGTCGCACAAACTATAAACAGACGATAGAGTAGTTCACTGGGCTTTGAGTCGCTATAGTACAATGTAAGCAAGTGATGGGGAGATCCAGACCTTGTCCCAAAGTTTTATAACAACTTATCGTAGCCACCCTAGTATTCTGCAGTTATGGCTCAAAATGCTGCAAGGATGTTGCAAGCTGCTACGTTTGGGACCACGCGAGCTAGGTGAAATGCGAGGAATGCAGATTTGGCAACCTTCAAAACATCTTGCAAATTCTATGCATCATTTTGGCTGGAAAAGACCTTCCTCAAAATTTCCCCCTGAAACCTTTTTTTTTTTTAACTTTAAAACAACTTATTGCTTCAAAATTTCCTTTCACTGAATGAAGAAACAGTTGAAAATGCTTGAAACAGAAACAAATTGTTTCATTTCGGGTTGAAGGAAACTTTTTTTTTCTAATTTGAATTCTTTCAACATTTTGAATTTCGGGTTGAAGGAAACTTTTTTTTTCTAAAGAATTCAAAGTGATTGCTTTTGGAGAGGCTCAAAATGGAATTATCTATCTATCTATCTACATTCCTCTTTTGAAAGAGGAATGTAAATTAGGCCACTCGAAAGTGCAAACGAAGTGCGGATTTAAATATCCCATGCTTCATTTGCATATTCGTGTCCGAGTGCTTTTTCGAAAACGTTTTTGGAATGTGGAAGCGCAGTCTAGACGTTTTTTCAGGAGTACGGGTTCTTTTGAAAAAGGGTTTACTTTTTCGAAAGAACTGCGTCTAGACTGCGCTTCCACATTCCAAAAACGTTTTCGAAAAAGCACTCGGACACGAATATGCAAATGAAGCATGGGATATTTAAATCCGCACTTCGTTTGCACTTTCGAGTGGCCTAATTTACATTCCTCTTTTGAAAGAGGAATGTAGTCTAGACATAGCCTATCTGTCTGTCTGTCTGTCCCTGGGGTCATGTCTGTCTGTCTGTCTGTCTGTCTATACACTCTAGCTATCTAAGTTGCTGGTGAACTGACAAATCTGTTGTTCACCCAACTCTTTGCTGCATTCCACAGGCTCATAGAAATATTTGGCTGGCAGGGACTAAGAGAGGTCCTTTAGTTCGAGCCCTTAGGCTTTGGCAAGACCAAATATACCTCGTCCATCCCTGACAGATGTTGCTTCATTTGTATGACTGCTTTGGGGTAGCACATGTCTGGAGTTGGGAGACTGAGTCTCCCCTCCAACCACCTGCATTCTAATCTCCATTCATTATTTCCCACGTGACGTTATTGTTGCAAGACCTCTGCCCACCTGAAAACTGGGACCCCAGCCTTGTGCTACGAAACGCTCCAAGGCTTTCCCCTTTTCCACGCTGCCTCCTCCTTTGGGGGACGCTGGGCAGCTGGAATGGTCATTTACTCTCTGTATCGCGGGAGCAGCTCCAGGCCTCGGGAAAAGCTCCGGTGCCCGTTGGGCCGAGGGTCGTGCACACGCTGAATGAAAACCGGGCCCCACCCGGATCGAAGTGTAAGACGAGACCAGTACAATCCAGGAGGCCCTGTCCTGCCCTGAGCGCTATAATGAAAACAGCCATGAGGGGGCGTCCAGCCTCAGCAGGTGACAGAGTCAGCACAAGGCTAGGTGGGCAGGAGTAGAAAAATTGAGAGAGGTGGTATTAAGATTCCAGCCCCTGCAAGTCTACCTGCTCCCATCCCAATCTCGGTTCCCGTTCCAGCGTGGCCAGGGCCTCCCTGCCACTTCCCCCGCTCTGCAAAAGTCCACATGTGAGCAGCGCTCCTACCATGTTTGCTGCAGGAGTGCTAGTCCTCCCTACCCCCCGGTTCTGCTCCCCCCTGCCCAGCCCAGCCCACCTAAGTCTCATACAAAACGTGGCTTAAGGACATAAGAGGTGCACGGCTTTTGCCCGGGGTGCAGGCCACCCCGTTAGCATGCATTGCATTACAGCTAAACACCACAGAATGCGGCAGTCGGCCAGGACAAAACCCCAACCCGAACGGATGCTCCTCGGTTGTTGGTGGTGCCCTTGAGAAATGTAGCCCCTGGGGTTCGTTTAAAAAGTGCATCCCCCGTTCAATGCGTGTGAGTTCCCCGGGGCCTTTGAACCAGCACTGGGCGATTGCCGCGAGTTCTGACCGGGCTTTTATCTCAACAAGCCAAACCCACTGCGCCTGCAAAACGGCTCAGGCAAGCTCCCGGGAGCAAGGACTTTCCGCGCTGGCTCTGGAAAGACAGACCTAGCATTAGAATTAAACATTGTTTGCCCGGGGCATGCCTCCACTGGAGACCCACCAGCACGGGTACGGGGGAGAGAGAAGGGGCCCGGGGCCCAGTGGTTCAGAAGTAACTGGGGCTCCCGGCAGCAGCAAAGGACAGAGGTCTGGGCCGTTGAAATCGCCGCCGGAGTGCCACACAGAGTGATCCAGGCAGCGCTAAGGGCTGGCTGAGGGGGAGGGAGCATGCGCCAGGTGGACTATGGGCTGGCCCGCCTCAGCCCCGCCCTTTCTGCCCGAGGCTCCGCCCCTTCTGGAAGCACAGCACCACTGCCACACCTTGCCAAGGGGCCTGGCAGAGCTATCCACCCCCCTGCTAGACTGCAATCCTGGGGTTCACTAGCTCAGGGCCTGAAGCAGTGAAGCTGCAGCCGCATAGGCTGGCTGGTCCTGCCTGGAGTCTGGGGTCATGCCCTCCAGGGCTAGCCTGTGCTGCTGCGGCTTCCCTGTCCTGGGACCCGAGCTAACCAAATGGAAGCTAACTCGGGTGTGTTGGCCTGAGCTGCACTCGTGCTTGTGCAGTGTGAACCGTTCTTTCGTTCTGTGTTTGTACAGCGCCTAGCACAACTCGGAGGGGAGGTCTGTGGCTTCAGCTCTCAGGCACTACCACCGTTCCTATCATGAGTTTTATCCAAACAGTTTCGAACCCGGGGAAAGCATCAGGGTCAAAGAGTTACATTTCCAATCCAGGACAAAGGTGCAGGTGCATGTATATTTCCCCCAAAGCTGTCCATCATTAATGCTGGCTCCACCTCTTTCCTGCAGTAGTTCCCTGCACCCGGCTGTGTATCTTTCCCATCCACAAAGTTAATATGTGTCAAAAGCAGTTTGAGCATTTGTAAAGACAGACCGCTTGGCGTATGGGCCTGCCCCAAAGGCTACTGGGAGTCAGTGGAACGGCTCCCCTTGTTACATAGATTTTGGATCAGTCCTTATGAGAGATGACTGGCGGGTCAGACGGGTGCTGTCCAGAACGTGGTAATCCAGGTGCTGATGATGCGTAGTGGTAGCTGTCTTCACACCCTGTAACATTTGTTCTCCAAACGGTGCTACAAGTTGAACCTCTGTAATCCGGCACTCTCTGGTCTGGCAACCTCTCTGGTCCGGCATGATTTCAGTTAGCCGAGTGTCCACTTTACATGGGTGTGGCCCAGTTTCCCATGGTCCCATAAAGTTTGTTTACACCCGCCAGTCCTGGCTCTGTGTTCTGTGCTGTTCTTTAGCTCTAATTCACCCCTAAATGTCTTCTCAGAGCCCGGTAAGCAGGGGAAGCGTTGGTGATGCTGCTAGACAATAGTGATCTCTCGTGGTCCGGCAAATTCTCTGCTTTAGCACCGGGTGCCGGGCTAGAGAGGTTCACTGTGTAGGCGTCGTAGGTTACAGCTGTACGGTAGCTGTAAGAGGACGTTCCAGGTCCATGTTCGTAGTTACCGATGAGTGGGCAAGCAGGAAAAGGGACGGCAGAGAAAATGGAGGTGGGCCAGGGGGAATGAAGTGTCCCAGGAGGAATGCTGATAAGGCTTTCTCTGGTGAGAAAAGTCCTTATGCCACCAAAAGAGGCAAAGGAAGGGTTTTTCCTAGACATGGATGAGCGGCGGCAAATCGTTCCTGTCATCTAGGAGACAGCGTTCCCCAGAGCTAAAGCTTGGCACTGCTACTGTGCCAGCCTCTAGACTGGGCGGCGAGACACGTGAGTGGTCGCAATCCGTTCTTGCTGTTCCTCAGTGGTGGCTTGGGATGAGGCCCAGTTTTCTCTCCTCGGCCTAGCCATTCGGGCGAAGGAACAATGTTCGCTCGTGGCCAGTCAGGCTTGGCGGGACTTGCCGTGCCAGTCAGGGAGTGGCGGCATGACCCGTCTGGGTCTTTGTGGAAGGATGAACTTTCTTGTGTCTGTGTTCCTGTGAAATGGGTCAGGGGGTTGCTTGGCCGGGCAGAGGGTCGAGGCCGGGTTACCTGAATGTTTCTGTCTCAAGCAGCAAACATGGCTGAATTGCGTAGAATCGGGGGAGCCGACAGCTTCCATGGAGAACTGGGTGGGGCCTCAGGCAAAAGGGGCGGGGTTGGCCAGGCAGCCTTCAGTACTGCCTGAACCACAGTGTTCTCCCCGTCCTCAGCCCTCAGAGCTGCTCGGAGCACACGGTGCGGCACTCCGGCGGCGATGTAAAGGACCCAGAGCTCCGTCTGTCACTGTGGTGGCAGCTAGGCACCTCAGGCCCCTTTGAATCCCAGGTCCTGGGGCAACTGTAACCCCCCCCCCCCAACCCACCCATTGATGGGCCTGAACGTAATAGTCAAAGAGTCCAATTCCGACTTGTGCAGCCGTCGACATCACTAGCAATTCGGACTGTGGGCAGCACGCTGGTAGACCCTTTGTTTCCTTGCCCCCAAGGTGGACCTGCCGTTGGAAAGACTTTTCACGCCCAGACGTCAGGGGTGGGAAAGGGCTGTGTCTAATCTATCTTCCTGGTAACGCAGGAACGTCCCTTAGATTCGTGAGCCCGTACCCCAGGCCGGAGCACCCCTGAATTTTTGACAAAGGTTGGCTCCGGGTGCAAATTGTGCGTCTGTTGACTGTTTGTGATACGTTCTCCTGGGCTTCGGTCTCACAAACTGATCGCTGTGGGTCTGGTTCAAACCTCCTTGACTGTCCCTGGAAAGTGCCATTAGTCAGGGAGATCAAAATGTCCAGACATGGTAAGGAGCGTTGCCTCCCGTAAATGAAACATTCTACATCATGATGTAGGCCCACGCCAGCACCCACTCACCTAGCGACTGTTTTCCGGGTTCAGTGCAGCCTTGATTTGCCGCCGGATTCTGATTTTGGTTTTCCTTTTCTCCTCTTCTCTCCACAGCGCCATGGCTACCTATTCTGCTTCGTGTACCAACGCCAGCCCTGCCCAGGGCATGAACATGGCCAACAGCATCGCCAACCTGAGACTGAAAGCAAAGGAATACAGTTTACAGAGGAACCAAGTGCCGACAGTCAATTAAAGACTGTCGCACACAAAAGGGGAAAACACGACGACACCCGTCCTGCTTAGCAGTTCACTTGTGCTGAAAAAAACCCACCCCAAAATCCGGAACTGTTGGGACCAAAGCAGGAGAAAAATGAACTGCAAATTAGTTACGATGTTCCTCTTTCTTTGTGGGGTAACGCCACCACTTTGTGTCACGGTTATTGCTTCTGCTCAGTATACTAGGAGCTTCTTCAGTTAAGGACAAGTCCATCCTTGTTGTTTGTTTTATACGTGACTGCAACCTATACGTCGACCCAGCCTTTGAACTTCTCCTCCAAACTGGCCTGAAGGCCGGCACCAGGCCCCTCACCTCCTGTGCTCCACTCGTCCTAGAAGAAGGGGCTCCGAAGCCAAGGCCTGCTCCGTCGGGAGACCAAAATATCCTTCCAGACCAAGGCTGTAGCTACAAAATCATTTTCATTGGCCTCTGAGGAGGCTTTTCGAGCAACCCGGTGGGTTCCTCTAGTCCCGTTGCCTGGACCGGGTCAGAATTTCATTCACAGCCAGCTGGAGTTTAGAACGTATTCTCCGCCTTCTGATGACTTCGGGCCCAGCCTCTTTGAAAAGCCAAAGAACCGAAGACCTTTCTCAGGCCAGAGTGGGAGTCCACGTGAGGGCACTCGAAGACTGGGACTTTGCCTTACGCTTCTTTCTATGCCTTATGTTTTGTGCCACAGGGGAAGGGGTTGTCCAAACGCATTTGTTTTATATAGACTGTATATATTTATATATATAAGATATACACACAAGCTTGGTGGGTGTTTTTTATTCAACAAAATAAAAAGACATTGAAAACGTTCAGGATAAGTGTGTGCTCCCGTCGTGTTCCGAGAGGGAGGGATACGTCTCGGCGTAGGAGCTTCCCATTTATGGTCAGATGCTGCCCTCGACCGTAGTCATCGTAAATAGCGTCCGCTTAGAGAAAGTGTTACGTCTCGCAGAAGGCCAAAGCATGTTACAAGCGGCAGGACAAATACCTGTGTCTGGATTCAGGCAAAACTCAGGATCGGAGTTGCCCCAATCCCCTACTGGTCAGTATTTGGGGCTAGATCATCTCTTCCAAAATATAGCAAATGAGGCACAGCGGGAGGAAACATTGGGAGATTCCCGTTGTGGAGTGAGGAGGGCTTGATCCTCCAGAAAAGTGAGGACTTGGCACCTCCTGCACTTCCAAACTAGACAGATCTTGAGTAGTCTGCCGAAGACATAGGATTGTCCACGGGCTGATAGTTAAGGTTCTCCAGCACCGAGAGATCCCGCACCGTGGCAAGTCCACGGGGAATGGCAATCCCATTGTGGGACTCAAACAGGGTGCAGGTTCCTATCCGATCCCCTTCCGCCTCCCCCCTTGTGCTCCACGCTGCTGGGATTTTGTGGTGCCTTCTTGCACTCTGGCAGAGCAGTCGTGGATTAGTTGAGGACTGAATTGGTGGCGACTAAGCCACCAACACCAGGTGCAACTGTGGAGCCCAACCTTACCGGAAGGTCCATTTACGAGTCCACACGCCATGCAGGACGGGAGACAAGCCTTCCCTCCTTCTGTCGTGAGTAGAATTTGCTCTTCGAAACAGATTCACTTTTTAAGCGGACCAGCCTACTCCTCAAGTTTCCCATCTAGCTCTGCGGAGCTTCTGGGCTCTGGTTGGCAGGGTCCCGTGAACTTTGCAGGCGTTCCGGAAAGTTCTGTGCATGGCGTGGGGCTGTCCGAAGGCAGCCAGCAATCCGCTTCACCTTCCCCGCCGGCTGCCAGCCCTCGTGACTTCATTGGGATCTTCGGTGGGTTTCCTCAAGCCACAATTCCTGGAGTCACGCAACTGCAAGAAAACCTCCATTTTCATGTCACATCCCCTCCCCCCAAATTGTAACCCTTGTGGCGAAAAGCTAGACGGGGTGACCCAAGTGTGAACAAAAGGCTCAAAAGTTAGGAAACAAAACTAGCCCAATATTAGAAGCGCCGACCCCCTGCAATACATGGTGGAGGAATGAACCAGACGCCTTCTTGAGGCCCCTTCCAGTTGTAACACTTTAAAGACTAACTAACAAGATGGTTTATTAGATGATGGGCTTTCGTGGGCCAGACGACCCACTATTTGATCTGAGGAAGTGGGTCTGACCCACGACAGCTCTTCATCTAATAAACCATCTTGTTAGTCTTTAAAGCGCTACATAGTCCTGTATTTTGTTTCAGCTACACCAGACTAACACGGCTGCATTTCTATCACTTTCCTTCCAGTTGTGTCTTTGCATGAATTCTTATTTTTCAGACAGTTTTAGGATTGGGGGGGGCGAGGGGGCTGACTTGTGATTTTTGATCGTCTGGGGCTGACGCTCTTGTTGCGCTATCCAAAGTGCAGTTCTGTGGTTGGCACCGCAATCGACAACTTCCAGCGTTCGGCTCACTGCGTGGCGTAGACCTCAGGGCAAACGGAGCCAATGGTGGTCCAAAGGACTTTGACTGGCCTACACTCAGCTGCTTCTGCTGTTACCAGAGGGAGGATGGTCGTGCTAAACGTAAAGGGAAAAAAGTGAGTGTAGACACAACCAATGGGATATAGACACAGGCCGGGACTAAGACGTTAATTAGCCACCCTTTCCAGCACAAGTCTGCAGATACAGCATCAAAGGGGAATGGAGCAAATGTACAAGAAAGCATCAATACTGGAAAGCATTTCATGTTGTCGACCACTTTCAGGAGTTTTAGCAGAGCACTGCGAGTCACGACGCCTGGGTTGCGTTGCTGCTCCGCCACCGGCTCACTGTGTGTCCCTGGTCCTGTTATTTCACCTCTCCGTACCTGGCTCTCCTCCACAGAGCGATGGGGTGACTTGTACTTACCCACCTCTCCCTGGGGATGTAAGGCGTCATTGATGGAGCTGTTCAGACGAAAGGAGGTGGTGCTTTAAGCAATGAATTTGGAGTTGCCTTTCCCAGCAGAGAGATTGCTTCCAAGCAGAGCAGGAGGGACTCCCCGTCTAAATTAGAACCAAGAGCCATAGCTTCTGAGGCTGTACACTGGCATGAGTTGGAGGAAGTCACCAGAGGACAAATGCTAGCTGAGAATCAGGACCAAAGTTTTCAGCCAATGAAGGCTGCATGTTGGGGGCTTCCTTGCCCTTCCCCGCTTTTTGATACACCACGAGGCAGTGCTGGCAGGCAGAACCCGCCCAGAGTGTCAGGTTGGCTATGCCAGCAAAGGGATCCATTTCTCACGCGGGCAGGAAAACAGCGTAGAAAGGAGGAATGCGCCGACTCCTGGAACCAGTTTCCCACTTGGAGCTTCCTGAATTGTTGTGACTTTTTAACTGAAATATGCCTGTGAATCCTGGAACCTAACGAAGGCCCCGATCCTGCAAACTCTTATGCACATGCTTAACTTCACTCATGACATTGCATTACATGCCAGTGACGTTATGCACGTGTGTTAGTATATGAGGTAATGGAGCCACAGAAACGTCTCCACAGCCGGCGTCTTTATTCAGGTTGCGACCGATTGGTAAATTTCCATCGCTTCAGCATGGGAATATCCCAACAAGGACCAGACGCAAAACCACCACCTCCTAAAAACACACCCAGCACCCTCCACCTTTCGTAATAAGAGCCCAGGGACAAAGCTTACCGACTGCAGGTTTGCATTGCTGACGACCTCAGCCATCGAGCAAGTTTCTATTCCTCCATGCAACAAAAGCACAATCGTCTGAGCACACGTGTTTATTCTGCATTTCATACAATTGTGGCACCTTCCAGCGTAACAGATTGATTTGGGTATAAGCTTTTAGGAGTAAAAAACACTTCGTCAGATGCATGAGAGGAAAACAAAAACACTTTGGCTGCGTCTAGATTGGCATGATTTTGCGCATCTTGTCGCCTGTCTACACTGGCCGCGAGTATTTGTGCAAGAACACTGACTTTGTAATGTACAAAATCAGTGGTTCTTGCACAAATACTCTGACGCTTCCGCTCAGGGATAAGCCCTCTTGCACAAGTATTCTTGCGCAAGAGGGCCAGTGTAGACAGCCATGTTAATTTCTTGCGCAAGAAAGCCCGATGGCTAAAATGGCCATCGGAGCTTTCTTGCGCAAGAGAACGTCTACACTGGCACGGATGTTTTTGCGCAAAAGCAAATCTTTTGCACAAAGGCTCATACCCGTATAGACACTCTCCTGCGCAAATACTTTTAACGGAAAATCTTTTCCGTTAAAAGTATTTGCGCAAAATCGTGCCAGTCTAGACGCAGCCTTTGTCCGATGCATGAGGGGGGAAAAAACACTTTGTCAGACGTGTGAGGGGAAAACAAAAACACTTCATCAGATGCACGAGGGATAAAAACCCACTTCGGCAGACGCATGCATCCGACAAAGTGGTTTTTACCCACGAAAGCTTCTGCCCAAACAAATCTGTTAGTCCCTAAGGTGCCGCAGGATTCCTCATTATTTTTGCAGATACAGACTAACCCAGAGACCTGTATGAGACATCGAAATATATATGCACATGGAGGGCCTGATTGTGAAGCCATGAAACACTCCAAAGCTTTCGTAGAAGTTCCAGGTGCCGGGAGTAGATGTCGGGTGTTTCCTGGTTAAATCTTTGGGGTCACAAAGTTTGGGGACCCTTAAGGTAGAACTTGTTCCTGCAGCTTCTCCTGCTGTTTGCTGTGCAAATCCCCATCTTTGGTCTGTCCAGAAACAGGGTGCTCGTGGACTATACAGAATTTTAAAGGGGGAAGGGATAAATCACGTGGGGAAGCCGATGAATTTGCTACAAACCAGGGGTCTGAGATCTTGGGGGGATCTGTTCTGCACAGAGTGTCTTGCTTTGTGATGTAACCTAGACGATCGGTGCGCTGGCCTCGAAATGGTCATTTCCCCACGCCCTACCCGCCGGTGGTCGGGCATCTTTGTCTGGAGAGAGCAGACCAGCGTCCAGTGTCGCTTGTCTTCCCTGCTGGAGTCTGCAGCCTGCTCTAGTTTTACACACTGGATTGGCCGAGGGACATTGGCAGCAGGGCCGACAGCCTTGCTGGGTCCCTGGGCAAGAGGGAGGGGGCTGCTCTGTGGCCCCAGAGAGGGCGGGGCCTTGGGCAGAAGGGGCGGGGCTCAGTGTTGCCCGGGGTGCCACACTGCCATTTAAAAGGCCTGAAGCTCCAGGCTGCTGTCCCCGTAGTGGTGGCGTCCAGGAAGGCCGGGCCCCTGTGTAGGGCCGGGCCTCGGACTGTTGCCCCTTTTGCCCCCCGCCCCCCGTCAGTGGGCCTGCACCTCCGTCAGGGCAGTGAAAAGGCCGTGCCTGAGGGCCCGTGTAGACGCGGCGAGGCCAAAGCAAGCGCTCCTGTAGGCGCAGTGGCTTAGCTACAGCAAGAGAAGCAACTTCTCCTGTGGACGGAGGAGTCCTCTTGGCCCAGACTGGCCGGCCCTCTGAGGCAAGCTGGGCTCAGCCTTCGGCCTGCCCTCGCAGCCCTCAGCCATGGCCAGGAGCTGGCTCATGAGTGACCCCAGCTGGGGGTGATGAGGCCTAGGGAGAGAGACCCCCCTCCCAGCCGTGGGGGGCAGCAGGGAGCAGCTACTTCAACAGAGCCGGGACGTCAGAGAGGGGGAGCCCCGGAAGGAGGAACAAGGGGAGACACACACAGCCCGGGGGCAGCGCGAGGAAGTCAGGAGCAAGAGGCCCCCGGGGTGCACAGCCGGCTGGTGGGGGGAGCCCGGAGGTAGGGCCCGTGGCAGGAGCAAGAGGCCCCCGGGGTGCACAGCCGGCTGGTGGGGGGAGCCCGGAGGTAGGGCCCGTGGCAGGAGCAAGAGGCCCCCGGGG